CTGGTGATCTTGGTTGACATCGCGTGATGTTTAGTCGCCCTCGATCGCTTCGTAGCCCGTGCTTGCCTGCGTCCACCGCTCAAGTCGGCGCCGAGGTAGGGGGGCCTGATGGGCATACTTCAACTTATATCCCTGCGCAGCAACTCGGCGTGTGATGATGCGAGCGTCCTCGATGTGGCTGCAGATCACGACGCTCTTAGGAGAAATCTTCAAACCTGCAGCCTCCATGCTCTGGCATGTGTCGATAAGACATCGGATCATCTGCTTGCGCATACTGATCCTTGAGCCTCGAGCCACTTGTGATAAATCATCCACCCGCAAGCGATGAGGCATATTCACATGTGCCGTGGTGATCTTGGACATGATGAAATGCGTGGCGCATTTCCCGAACCTCGTGCCCCCCCTCAGCCCCTGCACAATGGATCGGGTGGGGCAGAAGGGGGGGCCGTATGCTCCTGATTGTCGAACACATCGTATTGCCATACATTGCTGGAGCTCGAGGCCTAGAATCTCCGCAGGAAATTCGAGTCGTAGAGCTGCGATTCCGATGCGATACCAACCGACACTATCATACAACTGCGCAATATCACACAAACCGTGTCCGTGCGCAACTCCGAGGCGTCCTGCAAGTTCCTCGTCGACAGCACGAAGGAATACTTCTCGCACAGCGGAGTTGCCGCGCACAGCGGCATCCCAGTGTGCCTCACACTCGTCCGTCCACGTCTTGACATAACCCTCTCGGGCCTGCGACCACATTCTGCCGAAATGCGATAGAAGACCGATAACTCGATCTCCGCTTATTTGTTTTGGCAATAAGGTGCCAATCGTGATCAGCACTTGATGTGGCCACACCTGATGATATCCACAAAGAGATAGCAATGCTGCCAATTCGGCCAGAGCAATATCTGGCAGACGATCCACATCTAGAGAACACAGCCGATCAACACCCATCGCCGAAGAGGGTTTCATTCTTCGGAGCGCAGATCTGAGGTCGGCGTCATCGATGGGCGGCAATGCCTCGTCTTGGACGCGGCGCCTGATGTCGCCGAAGAGGTCTAGCAACTGCTGATGGTCCTGCCCCTGTGGCGCCCACAACGCCTGCCATTGTTGGGTTTTAAAATCGAGCACATCAAGTGGATGGATCAGCGTACGAGTACCCACTTCGACAGTGTCGGAGGCCAAGGGCGTGGACCGAATAGCCTTGTGGAGGATGAGGAGGAGAGGGAGGAGGAGGAGGAGGAGGAGGAGGAGCAGGAGCAGGAGGAGGAGGAGGAGGAGGAGGAGGAGGGGGAGGAGGGGAAGGAGGAGGAGGAGGAGGAGGACGGCGCCTAGACACATGAAAACACGCGTTTCGCTTGAGACGTTCTCAGCACATCCTCATGCTAGACATCCGCCTGGACAACCTGGACACGTGCAAACAAGCGTCTCGATCGAGACTTCCTCGACACCGCCTCATGCCAGACATCCACCTGGGCGACCTGGACACGTGAAAACAAGCCTCTGGTTCGAGACATCCTCAACAAGTCCTCATGCTATACATTTGTCTGGGCAACCTGGAGGCGTGAAACTAAGCGTCTCGCTCGAGACATCCTCAAGACCAGGGCACGTGAAAACAAGCATTTCACCTGAGAGATCCTCTGAATTCAGGTCCCCAGGAGAGGACAAGCTATAATACAAAACAAGCGTTTCGCTAGGGACACCCTCAAAATTTAATTCGCCGGCCCACCTCGGCCCCGATATTTATCGCAAAAGAAATTCGCCGGCCCATCTCAAGTCAAACCCGAGGGTAAACCCACTAAAAGAGAACCCTGGGTCTCATCCCTTTCCGGGAAAAACGAAATAACACCACACCATTTTCATATACCGCACTTCCAACGTATCATACTTTGATATGTGTTTGGATGCTCGAGTACAAACATTATGTGTTTTATATGGTTCTGGCTTCGAAACCTCAGGAAGAGATATGTTTTTTGTTCTACAGACTTCGGGCTATAATCATTGGGAAATCATTGAAACAAGGGGAAGTCTCTCATGTTCGGCTGTTTTGTTGGTCCCCGGTTCACTACCAGGAAGGTCTACAAAGGAAATGTACCACTCCACAAAACGAACCCCTTTTGTAACCCGCCACAAAAGGAATACATATGTTGCCCGCCGCAACATGATCGACCCACGAACCCGGAAAGGAATATAGACATGTAAGGCATGGCAACGTTTCAAAGACACCTGATTGGGCGACGGGCAAATGCAATGCTGAATGTATCGATCTTGATGTACCGTGCCGAGGACTGTGCTGTGCTACGCCGTGCTGAGCTGCGATGTGCCATGCCACGATTGTGCTCTATATAGCGTTGTGGATCGAGTCCTCCCTGGCATCCGAGTCCTGACCGAACTGATCTGGATCTTAAGCTCGAGCTGCCTGAGCAGATGGTAGCTGCCCCAAAAGTAATACTAATCTAGTGAGGGGACACGCCAGGAGGACGCGCCGCGGAACGTCCCAAGGGACGCGCCAGGCGACGTGCCAGGGGACGCGCCATGGGAACGCACCGCGGGACGTGCCAAGGGGTCGCGTTACGGAACGTGCCAATGGACGTGCCGCGAGACGTGCCAGGGGACGCGCCGCGCGACGTGCCAGGTGGACTCGCCACGGGACGCGCCAAGGAACGTGCCAAGGTGCAATGTTGAGTGTGTCGATCTTGATGTACCGTGCCGACGGCTATGTTGGGCTGGGCCGTAGCTCGAGCTGCCTGAGCAGATGGTAGCTGCCCCAGAGCTAATCGACAGGGGGGCATGCCAGGAGGACGCGCCGCGCAACGTCCCAAGGGACGCGCCAGGCGACATGCCAGGGGACGTGCCATGGGCACGCACCGCGGGACGTGCCAAGGGGACGCGCTACGGAACGTGCCACGGGACGTGCACCTCGCGACGTGCCTGGGGGACTTGCCACGGAACGCTCCGCGGAACGTGCCAAGCAACATGCCAGGTTGCAATGCCAAGGGTATCGGTATTGATGTACCGTGCCGATGGCTGTGCTGTGCCTGGGCGACCTGGACACGTGAAAACACGCGTTTCGCTCAAGACGTTCTCAGCACATCTCGTGGATGGGGCCAATCTATAGGCATTACGTAATCCATGCCCCTGACCAAAACGTGTCCCGCACCCTGTGATTTATCGATCGCGATTTCAAAAACCAGCGTTTCGCTATGGATACCCTCAACTTTTGATTCGCCGGCCCACCTCGACCTCGATATTCATCGCAAAAGAAATTAGCGGGCCCACCTCAAGTCAAACCCAGAGGTAAACCAACTAAAAGAGAGATCCCTGGGCGTATGCCCTTTCCAGGAAAAAGGAACGTGATCGACCCACGAAGCCGGAAAGCAATATATAGAAATGTAAGACATGGCAGCGTTTCAAGGCACATGATGGGGCGACGGGCAATTGCAATGCTTAGTGTATCGATTTTGATGTACCGTGCCGAGGGCTGTGCTGTGCAGCGCCGTGCTGAACTGCGATGTGCCGTGCCGCGATTGTGCTCTATATAGCGTTGTGGATCGAGTCCTCCATGGCATCCGAGTCCTGACCGAACTGATCTGGATCTTAAGCTCGAGCTGCCTGAGCACATAACTAGTAGCTGCCCCAGAGCTGGTTAACAGGGGAACATGCCAGGAGGACGCGCCGCGGAACTTCCCAAGGGACGCGCCAGGCGACGTGCCAGGGGACGTGCCACGGGGACGTACCGCGGGACGTGCCAAGGGGACGCGCTACGGAACGTGCCAATGAACGTGCCACGGGACGTGCCAGGGGACGCGCCGCGCGACGTGCCAGGGGGACTCGCCACGGGACGCGCCACGGAACGTGCCAGGTTGCAATGTTGGGTGCATCGACCTTGATGTACCGTGCCAAGGGTTTTGCTATGCTTTGCAGCGCCGTGCTGAACTGCGATGTGCCATGCCGCGATTGTGCTCTATAGTGTTGTGGATCGAGTCCTCCTTTGCATCCGAGTCCTGACCGACTTGATCTGGATCTTAAGCTCGAGATGCCCTAGCACATAGTAGCTGCCCCAGAGCTGGTTAACAGGGGAACATGACGCGCCGCGGAACGTCCCAAGGGATGCGCCAAGCGACGTGCCAGGGGACGTGCCACGGGGACGCACCGCGGGACGTGCCAAGGGGACGCGCTACGGAACGTAACGTGCCAATGGACGCGGGACGTGCCAGGGGACGCGCCGCGCGACGTGCCAGGGGGACTCGCCACGGGACGCGCCACGGAACGTGCCAAAGAACGTGCCAAATTGCAATGTTGAGTGTGTCAATCTTGATGTACCGTGCCGAGGGCTGTGCTGTGCTGCGCCGTGCTGACCTACGATGTGCCATGCCACGATTGTCCTCTATAGCGGTGTGGATCGAGACCTCCCTGGCATCCGAGTCCTGACCGAATTGATCTGGATCTTAAGCTCGAGCTGCCTGAGCACATAACTAGTAGCTGCCCCAGAGCTGCTTCACAGAGGGGGCATGCTAGGAAGACGCGCCGCGGAAAGTCCCTTGCGCGCCAGGCGATGTTCCAGGGGACGTGCCATGGGAACGCACCGCGGGACGTGCCAAGGGGACGCGCTACGGAACGTGCCAATGCACGTGCCACGGGACGCGCCAGGGGACGCGCCGCGCGACGTGCCAGGGGGACTCGCCACAGGACGCGCCACATCCTCGTCCTCCTCCTCGTCCTCCTCCTCTTCCTCCTCCTCCTCTTCCTCTTCCTCCACCTCCTTTTCCTCCTCCTCCTCCCCCATCCTCCTTCTCCTCCTCCTCCTCCTCCTCCTCCTCCTCCTCCTCCTTCCTCCTCCTCCTCCTCCCCCTCCTCCTCCTCCTCCTCCTTCTCCTCCTCCTCCTTCCTCCTCCTCCTCCTCCCTCCTCCTCCTCCTATCCTCCTCCTCCTCCTCCTCCTCCTCCTCCTCCTCCTCCTCCTCCTCCTCCCCCTCCTCCCTCTTCCCCCCCATCGGGCCTCAGGCGGACGCTTCCTCCCTGTTCCTCGCGCTGGCGGGGCCCGGCGCGCCTGACGCTGGCCTCCGACGGACGCCGGCGCTGGCCGAGGGGGCCTGGCTCGCGGCCACGGCCGACTTCCCCGAGGCGCGCCCCCTGCGCCGCACACGTCCTCTTCTTCCTTCTCCTCCTCCCTTCACCCCTCCTCCTCTCTCCTCCTCCTCCTCTCCTCCTCCTTCTCCTCCTCCCTCCTCCTCCTCGCTCCTCCCCTCCCCTCCTCCTCCTACTCCTCCTCTCCCTCCCTCCTCCTTCCTCCTATCTCCTCCTCCTCCCTCCTCCTCCTCCGCCTCCTCCTCCTCCTCCTCCTCCTCCTCCCCCCTCCTCCTCCTCCTCCTCCTCCTCGCTCCTCCTCCTCCTCCTCCTCCTGGCCTCCTCCTCCTCCTCCTCCTCCTCCTCCTCCTCCTCCTCCCTCTCCTCCTCCCGCCCGTGGCGGTGCACGGGGCCCCTCCCCGGGCGGCGCCCTGGCCACGCCGTGTGTCGCTGAGTGCGCTCCTTTTCGAGGCTTCCTACGTAGGGCGGGGTCCGGGTAGATGGGGTCGGAGGATAGCGCCGCATCACCGATGCATCGACGATGCGGCTTGATGTGGAGCCCGATTTGCTTCACGTCGACGTCGACGTTGTCGATGCATCGCCAACGTCGACGATGCATCTCTGGTGCATCACCGATGTATCGGCGATGCGGCGGGATCCTCCGACCCAATCTACTCGGACCCCATCTAGGAGGCCTCTACCAGTGCTCGAAACGACAGAGGAGGAAAAGATGCCCATACCTTAAGGGGGGGAAGAGCGGTAGAAGACAGATTGTTCCCCCGTCGGAGACGCTTGCACCCCGGGCGGCTGGAAAATTTATACCCCTACGGTGCCGCGTCGGGATATATTTTTGTTCGTCGCCCAGGCGGTAGGTGTCCCCGACGGCGGAAAAGTGTATGTTACACTGTTCTTCGCCCGCTAAAAACTGCTACCCATCCCTTGTCCTCGCCTCTTTGGGCCTCCTGGGAGGCCCTCGTCGCCACCGCTGGGTGCTCAAGATCTTGGTCAGAACGCACCCCTCGAGAAGTCAGGGGTATCACCGAACGCGCTCCCAGACAGGATCGCGCTGTGACAAAAGTCACGCCGGCAGGTTTGTTGGCCATTTTCGGCCTCTGGGGGCACACTTTTTTTGCGTCGGAGGCTAGGCAGAGGGTGACTGCGCTGGCGATGAGAGGCTTAGACGGGGATGCCGTTGGAAAATCCGCGCAGACCGTCGAAAGTTTATGCTCATGCGTTTTTTCCTCTATGGAAGAAAGGCAGGACGTCGCAGGTCTGTGTTCCATTACTTGCAGAGTTCCTCCTCGCAAGCGTCCGAAGAACATGTGTTGGCGTCCATGTGATGGATCGCAGGTCCCTTGCGAAGGATGCAGGCCATTAGGGAGTAACTTTGCACTGTTGCGCGAGGACTGCAGCCCGCTAGTCGAAGCGGGAATTCTGCGCGACTGCACGGCTTTGGAGTTGGACCGTTATCCAAGGATTTCTCGAGCGAGTGGCTCGCCCAAGTCGGGCAGCAATTTCCTCCTCCTCCTCCTCCCTCTCCTCCTCCTCCTCCTCCTCCTCCTCCTCCTCCTCCTCCTCCTCCTCCTCCTCCTCCTCCTCCTCCTCCTCCTCCCCCCTCCTGCTCCTCCCCCTCCCCCTCCTCCTCCTCCTCCTCCTCCTCCTCCTCCTCCTCCTCCTCCTCCTCCTCCTCCTCCTCCTTTTTTTCAAACAGCAGAACTCGGAGGTCGGCGCAGATGACTCGGATCGGCGCGGGGGTCCCCCGAGCTGCGCCGCCCCGGACCACTCCGCGCGCCATTGGATGGGGCTCCAACGCCGATCCGAGACACCCTCGCGGACGTCCGAAGGATTGCAAAAAAAAAAACCTAGGATTGCAAAAAAAAACCTAGGTTTTTTTGCAATCCTTCGTTTTTGCAATCCTTCGTTTTTTTTTTTGCAATCGCTTTGATGGGATGTCTGTTATTTCCCCCGATGAGGTCGCTGAGTTTGCCCGCAAGGTTCCACAGGACCTGTTTGTCCCCGGAACCCTTCAGGGCTGCTTCGAGATTGGGCGTTGCGTAATGGAGGGGTCATAAATGGGGGGGTGGCGAGGGTGGTCCGGAAAGGTACCCAAACGGTACCTAAACGAGCCCCCTGGGGGTCCGGAGGGGCTCGAAAGGGGCACGAAAGGGGACCGTTTCTGACCCCCCCATTTATGACCCCCCCATGAAGCCACGCCCAACGAGACAGCCACCCTTGCTGGTCCCACCTGTACACCTTGCCTCTAGCAGACCGTGTAACAGACTTCGTGCACAAACGAACTAGCACTAATCCACACACTCCCGCGGGCATCTAAGTATCCATTCTTGGCCTTGATCACGCATGGCCCACGCAGCCATGAACGCCTCGTGGCGCTGAAGATGGGAGAGCCACGAAAGGCATGAGATAGATGATGGACCTCGGCGTGCATAGAAGGCCGCGTAGGGCCCTAGCGTGTCTGGATGAGTGGGATCTCAGCCCTTCCTGTGGGAGCTTCGGACTCCCTACCGCCCACGCTGAAACCTTACAGCTGCTTGGCGGCCCAGAAGTCAGCAGCGGCCCGAGACGGGCCCCGGGGAGGAGCCCGAGCGCAGAGGAGCGCACCGGCGACAGCGCCAGGTGTCTGGAGCCACTTCCGCGGGGGGCGGCCAGGAGGGGGAATGATGACTGGGGGGGGGGGGATATTTGGGAACCCCCAAACCGGGTGGTGAGATACCAGGTGGCGACCTGGAATCCCCAAAAAGGTCACCGCTGGGTTTTGGGACACGGGGTCACCACCAGGTTCTGTGACTCCTGGACCCACCAATATTCGGGACATCCTCGGAAAACCGCACGAGTCCCCAAACCGGGTGGTGACACCAAATCGCCCGAGACTCACCGCCAGGTGTTGTCACCACCACGTTTGGGGACTACCAAGATATCGGGGCCATGATCGGGAACTGGGACATTTACATTGCCAGTGGCGGGCTGTTCCTCAATCCCACGACTTTTCGAGGGTTGGGGACGGCGTCGGGATGGTGTGGTGCATACTTGTTGTTCCGTTTCCCGGGAACCAGCGAACAATGTATATTCAAAGGTCCTGTATACACCAGGATTCGTTTTCCTGTGACAATTTCGGTGCAGGGCCAGAACAGGCGTCGGTGTATAGAGTTCGGTTCCCTACATGATATCCCCCCAGATTTCATGGCGCCTCTTCTTATTCCAGTGAATTCCCTGGCCCCCCCCTGGCCCGCGCACATGCCTCGGGCCATGATTTGCGCACCCCCTCTCTCGGACGCCCCCCTCATTGGACGCCCCCGAGAGCCGCTTCCGGCATTGGATGAGGAGATTCGAAAGGAACCTCGCGCTGCGCCAGAAGGATTTCCGCATCGCAACCCTCGTTCCTTTTACATAATATTTGGGAGTACTTGTACACCAGAGCGTGGGACCAGCATGATTCCATCTCCCAAGGTGTTCCGTTTCCGTCGGTCCAGCTCTTTTTTGGGTGATCTGTCGTAAATGTTCAGATCATTTTTTTGCCAGCTGGCTCGATGGAACGACTGTGGAAAGAGGAGCAGCTGATGAGGACGACGACGAGAGGGAGGACACCGAGGAGGGTTAAGAGGAGGAAGATAAGCTTCGCGATGAGGATGATGCGGATGAGTCGAATGAGCAGGACGACGAGGGTGAGGACGAAGCATTGAGAGTCATATGGATGCCGACCGTGCAGCTCGGTCCGGATACCCTAGCTCTTCGGTGGAAGCCACCGCGACGCCGACTCATTGGCCTGTTACGGTACGTCCCAGTGTCAGCTTCCGCTCGATTTTTCTGATCCCATCCTGCGGAGCGATGTGTAATGGCAGACTAGTTTCACGCTGGCCTCGTCAACACATTGCCGGCGTGCGTAGACCAGACGGGGCTAGGACGAGGATAAGTCCGTTCCTGAGCGTTCCAGAGCGCTCTCAGAGCTCGGCCTTCTGAGAAGGCCGCGACTCCCGAGACATCCTCCAGAGCCTCCAGAGTTTTGAGATTCTCTATTTAACTTCACCCGATTTGATCCTCGTCATAGCTTCGTCTTACATGAGAACAGTAAGTTGTCTTCCATGACGCACGGGCCTACTGACGCGGCGTGCGACCCCCCGTGTTCTTTCGGGCGTCGGGGAATGGGGGGTGCGATGAAAGGGGGTTGCAGAAAGGTGCACCTATTGTGCCCTAAAGGGGCCCGGGGCCCCTTGGGGCCCAAAAGGGGTACGAAAGGAACACGTTGTTCCCCCACCCGTATGTATCGTTCCCCATTGCTTAACGCCCGATTCTCGTGGATCCCAGGGGTAGACTAAGGGCCGCGATACGAACAGAGTGCCTGTGGGTCGCAAGTTGTACCACCCTTGACTCGCGTGTGTTCCCTTCGAACACGTGGATGAACGGGCATGAGCTTATTGCAGTGCCCTGGCCATCCACCGCGCTAAAGTCAGCGTGAGCACTCCTTTCAAGAGGTAGCAATATTGCATCATCCCCGCAGTTTGCGCGGTGGCCTGCGTCGCAGTACGTCTGCGTCGCGGTTTTGAACAGAAGTGCCGGGCACGTTGGGCGAAGGCATTGTTCACAGGCACGCTCAAAGACCGTTGTCGACGAGGGAGATCCTTCTCCTCCCCCCAATCCTGCATTCTGTAGTGTGAAGCGGGGCTCGTGGTGGCCCACTTCAGAGTCCTAGTGCGTCTCATCTTGTGCACCGTGGTAGAAGTGCAGAACCCTAGCAGGGCAGGTAGCACTGCCAGGACTCCGCGAGCTTTCTATTCTATTGTCAAGGCGTTACGGCCAGTGCCGTCGACCCTGAAGCGGACGACGACGAGGTGGAGGAGGCTGAGGAGGAGCAGGAGGAGGCGGAGGACGCGGTGGAGCAGCAGCAGAAGGGAGAGGAGGAGGAGGAGGAGGAGGAGGAGGAGGAGGAGGAGGAGGAGGAGGAGGAGGAGGAGGGGAGCAGGGGCAGGGGGAGGACGGGGGGGGAGGAGCAGCAGGAGAAGAGTTGATGACGCGGAGGAGGGGGAGGAGGAGGGGCAGGAGGAGGAGGAGGAGAAGGAGGATGGGAGAGACGAGGTCGAGGCCAGGCTGCTGCCATACTCTCCTCCCCCCCGTCCTGGTCGGAGGCCCCTCCGGTGGCCGCCCAGCCAGACTCGGCAGCCGCCGCGACCCTACCGCGGGGGCGGAGCGGGTCACGCGGGCGCAGCGGGCGGTCGGCTTCGGGGCAGGCGACGCGGCGAACGACCGACGGCGAAGATGAATGGCCGACGACGACGGCGACGGATGACGGGCAGGCTTCGGTCGACGACGGCCGACGACGACGGCGACGACGGCGAAGATGACCCTGGCGGCGCTGTGGTGTTGCGAACCTTGGAAGCTCACAGTGGCTTAAAGACTGACATTTCACACCACTCAACGGGCCATGCTGCATTTGAAACACTAGCTACCCTGGGCTCAGGAGGGGATCCGGCTTTCGCGTCGTTGTCTTTCAGACCCCAGGCCGGTGGACCCTGTTCGAAGCCGAGGCCTGCCGTGGTCAGAAGAGCCTTTTCGTTCCTTCTTCTCATCGAGGATAAACGAACACCCCCGTCTTTGCACCCAGGGATCATAGATCTGGGCGGCTTGGTTCAATACATCTGCAGAAAAGACACCCTACTCAAAATGTGCTTGGCCCTCCTAACTGAGGTCTCCTCCCAAAGGGCCCTTCTATTGCCAATCACTTTCAGCGTGCTTATGTTAACTATTGGTGCATAAAATCGATCGAAGCCCAAAATCGATCGTAGCACGAGGATCGAAGCCCATCAAACTAATCGTAGCACGACGATCGAAGCCCCACATTGCATGCATCTATTCATCTGAGGTCCCGCGACGATGTCTTGGATCTGCGCTGCCCCCCCCTGGCGCCCGTCGGCGCCGCCCCCGTCGCGCTCTGCGCGCCAGGGAGGGGGGCCCAGCGCGGGTCCAAGAAGTCCGCGCGAACCTCCGACAGTTTCTGTTGATTCAGCTCTTCCCCCTTTCAGGATGGATTGTTACCCCAAACTTGATTTCCTCATCGAGTGCATACGAACATGCGTCGAAGGTTAGTAGATCTATGGGCATTCTACGTTTCGAAGACGCCCGCGGCGAATCACCGCCGCCCCCGTCGCGCTCCGCGCGCCTGGGAAGGGGGGTCCGGTGCGGATCCAAGAAATCTGCGCGGACCTCCGACAATTTAGATTTATGTTTGTTTGTTCCCTTGTTATGCTGTAGCACGATGACTGTATCGCTTGCCCTGGGAGGCGCCTGGTGGAGGACCGCGCCTGATCGCGTTCTGTTGTCCAGTCGTCTCACGCTCATGCCCGCCGCCATGACGACGCCCGCCCGGGCCCATGGCGGTTGAGTGGCGAGCGTTCCTCTCTCGCCCCCTCCCAGTGAATAAGCATACATTTTTGAGTTCCGCGCGGATTTCTCGGATCGGCGCGGGGCACCTCTGGCGGAGCCTCCAGCGCCGACCCTGGCGAGCTCCGCGCGCCAGGGAGGGGAGGCCAGCGCCCGTCCGAACAATCCGCGCGGACCGTCTTGTTGTTGTTTTTTTTTCCTAACCTTGCAAACCATTAGAATCGGTTGCTTCGACTTCTTGTGCAACGGACTCAGACAGGGCCAACCCCAGCGAGCAGTTTCCCCAGCAAAAGCGTCAGCCAAAGCGTTGGCCACAAGGCAGCTCGCATCTGGTCGGGTCTCTCTAAGCTGTCGGGCGTGACTTGATCCAGATGCTCTGCACACACCTGGAGTGCTGTTCGAGCTGCATCCGAACCATCTGCCGCAGATCTAGCACACACGATTCATCAACTGCAGCGCCACGACGACCAACTGCGACATTAATCGGCTTGACATCGCAGCAGGAAGTGGTGTCTCCAGAAGTTTGCTTCAGAAGATGGGTTATTGCATTCAATTCGGCCGTCGGGAATTTTGATACGGCCCGCAACCGTAGCCCCAATGGGGCGTCGGGCCACCCTCCAGATTTCATTACCAGTGTATTCAAGTTTAGATTCGACTTGGCTCAACATGTTCAGACACCCGTATTGAATTCCAAGTTATTTTCCGCAGAGCCTACTCGATTTAAGCAAAGGCTCAGCTTGGATCTTGTATCTAGGATCAACATTGGCAGTGTTAGGTCAAAGAGCGAGGTAACACCTGCTTCAGCACCCCAGCGTCCCATCGCCTTGGCAGTGTGAGCACGGGTACGTGCGCTGGACTCAGGAGGGTGGGTCGCCTTCATAATTTGATGCGATCAGGTGCACACTGCATGCATTTCAGCCAAGAAATGCACTTTCTTGGGTTCCCAAGTGCCCTCCTGTTCCTTTTGATGCATCTTAAACATAGGTTCTCTGCCGTAATGCCCAACCCCACTGTTTAGTCCTTGCACCGTTGGTTCGAAATCTCTGGCAAACGTCCAGGTCCTGTTGGCACCCGTTTTTTGCATATTTGGGCTCGTGCCCTACACCTATTGGGTCAGGCCATCAAGGTGCGCAGCGACAGAGACCCTAGGTATCCTGATGTGCGCGCGTGTCCAAATATGACATACACAACATTCCACCAAACGCCAAAATTGTGAACATTCCGCCAAGATGGATATAAGTTATTTCAGCAGTGCAGACACGGTGCTAGCAACGCCCAGAATTATTGGGAAGGTGTGGGTGAGGAGGCCGAGGTACAGGAGCATCGGGAAGTATTGCTCATTCAGAGCAAGCCCTGTCAGTTGGAGAGGGTCTATGGTGTCAACATGCTGTTCCATGTCCCAGTTGATGAAGGCGCAGAACAATTCTTCACCGCGGAATCCCAATACGCAGCATGATAATCGGTCCGTCCCAGTGTTTCATGCCCCGAGCTTAGCGAATATCCGGCACAGCGTGGGGAACTTTGTGATGGGCGTCCTAGAGGCTTCAGTCCCAGGGAGCAGCACAACCAGGCACAGCTACACCACTTGGGGGAGCTCAAGAGCACGCTCGATATAGCATCAAACGTGGTGGTTAACTCTTCGTCGATCGTTTCCATGGGCAGGCAGAGCAAGTGAGGTGTTGACAGCAAACCGCCCTAACACTGTGGCGGCGTTGGGGAAGCGGCTTCTAATCCAAGAAGTCAACTTGGAGTTTGCCACGATGGTGATACCGAGGCGGCACGCCGCCACCTGCATCGTAGCTCTTCGGGGCGCGGCCCGCCCCGCTCGGTCGTCGCCCGTGGCTGGGCGCGCCGCAATGCCGTTTGGAGCCCAAGATCGCGCGCGATCTGTGCCCGCTCCTGCTGGAAAAGCGGGCATTCTTGGAAATAGTGTCTGGGGCTGACCACAGGGGCTTGGCAGGCGGCGCAGCCCGCCGCTCGGCCACCTCGCGTGGGCGTCTTCGTGGCGCCGCCTCTGAAAATCTCGAGGTGTTTCAGTGCTTCCTGGCGGTGGCATCGAGGCCCCGCGCCCACTTGGTCCAGATCGCGTGGCTGGAGGCGCCCACGTCGACCTCGCTGACTCCTTCGGAGTCCACGCAGCTGGCGTGGACCATCTCGAGGCGACGCGCCCTTGCAATCGCGCGAACGACGTGGGCTGCGGAAGGGGGAGCTGTCCAGAAGGAGAAGCCCGAGTTTCTGATGTCACGCGTAGCGTTGAGGATCTGCCGCGCGCCGTCACGCGCCACGGACGCCTGCGGGCCCCGTTCGGGCTCGAAGCCGCCAATGGTCGACCCCGAGTGCTTGAAGTATGCCGCGAGCGCGTGCTTGACGAACGGGCCCCAGAGCCTTGACTGCCTGGATGGCGGGTGGAAGCGGCACGCGGAGCTGCGCCCGCGGCGCCCGCCGCTTCCCTGGCGCCACTGCGAGCACTTGGAGCGAATAAATGAGCGAAAGAACATCGCCGGCGTGGCCATCGGAGCCGGCGCCGCCAGGGGGGGCAGCCCAGAGCCAGAGAGGCCGCGCGCGAGCAGCCCCAAGCGCCTCCCGCGCTGCCATCGCACCCGGCATGGAAGCAAGAATGGCGAGCGCGTTGAGCAGCTGTGTCCACCCCCCGCGGGGGAGCATAGGTTGGCGTGGATCGGCAGGCGCGCGCGCGTGGCCCTAGGTGCTCCGCCCGCTGCTTGTTGATGCTGTAGTGCTAGCGCTTCCCGGCACCGGGGCGACCAAGAATCGACCCGCCATCCCGTATCAGGGGGCAAACCCTTGGCCAATCTGAAAACATCTGATGCAGTAGTGGCCTCTGACTCCAGGGCTTCTTGGACCGCTAATGATCTGAATTGGGCCATGGCGCGTTCGATCTTGTCGCACTTCTGGTCTCCCATATGATCCCCAGAACGTCTCGCGACGCATCATCGTATCACTCGTGATCTGCGCGGTTGCGCTGGGAGTCAAATTATATAGGATTTCCAACCACGGGGCGATTGTCTTGGCGCCCCCATTTGAGCCCCGAGCTCAACCAATCTCGAGGAGGCTTGCGGCCATTTGTCCGAGCCTGCGAAGGCCCACAAGGCCGAATGTGCACCCCGATACCGCCGATCTTGAGCGAGGGTTCGCTTGGGCATGATCCAGGAAAGCCCTGGGCGGTGATGGACTGCAGCAGCTCGTCCAGCAAAGGTGGCCCCGAGGGGTCGCAGGCGGCCCATGCCGCCCTTCTCAGAGACGCGGCCAGACAGTGGCGCCTGGCAAAAAGAAAAGATCCGACAGCCAAATCGGGGCACCCATGTTTTTTTTGTGTCTTGCGCCCGCGGGGGATGGGAACGCGAGTGAACTCAATCCCAGCATCCCGCGAACCAGATGTCGGGGACTTTTCTTGGCCATTTCGGGCCATCAGAAGGTTTGGGGCAGCAAGCGACAGATTTAGGTGCCTGTCGGACCAGAGTCCAAGATCGCGAACTTGGTGGGGCGAGCGAAGTGGACCGCGCACTTCTCGCGGGGTAGAAGCGGCGGAAGTTATATGCATCTCTGCCTTCTACACAACATGATGCCCACATTCATGGGGGACGCGAGCAGTGTCGGTTGAGCTCTCTTCCAGATGTTAAGCCATCGCGCTTTTTCAGTGTAAATTTGCATATGTAGGCAAGCACGAATCTCGAAGGGACCTGAGGGCATTCGAGACCACGGCATGGTCAATGTTGCTTCCTTCCTTTTTTGTTCGCGCGTGAACTTTGCATTCGCAGCTCGCGCCGCTCCAGAATGGGCAAACCCAGAGCATCCGCATTCGTGTAAAGCCAGAGGTTCGATGTTATAGTCG